GGGTGGGCCTTGCACGTGCGAAATTGCGAGGGGGTACCTCCAACTGACTTGTGCACGGCACCCTACTAACCGGTCTCTAGCGATGTGCCAAATTTGGGCACAATCGGCACAGCCGTTCTCGAGATCTGGAAGCGGCACCCTGCACGTGCGCACGTGCAAAATGGGTCCCAACTGACTTGTGCACGGCACCCTACTAACCGGTCCCTAACTCTGTACCAAATTTGAGCGCAATCGGTCGAGCCGTTCTCGAGATCTGGAAACGACCCCTGCACGTGCGCACGTGCAGCAGCACCCCAACTCTGGCACATGGATATGCAGTGCCTAGTGGGTGCCTACCTACATGCCAACTTTCAGCGCAATCGGCCAAGTAGTTACCGAGATATTGCAACAATTACAAAACTGACACCTCTTCGTTTTGCACGTGGCACGTGCATAAGGGGTCACCCACATGCATCGGGAATAGTCCAATACTTGGTAGAAGGAATGAAGCTACCCTACAAAATTTACCGCATGTAAATCGGTCAAGTGGTTGCTGAGATATGAGCCTCGCAAAAGCGTCCGCACGGCCGAATCCGAATCTGTAGTCAGAAATTTCCGTTAATCTAAGGAAAGACTCCGCTCGCTTCGCTCGCTCCGTAACCAACCACCAGTGTACCCACCAGTCCCACCAGTCCCACCAGTCCCGCCAAACAGAACGGCGCAAAGGGCGTTCCATTAACCAGTCTCACTAAGCAGGGGCACCACAGTAGAGTTGCTGTGCAGAAGGTAGCTCGCACTGCAGCCAGAGGGTGGGACTATCCCGATGTGGCTGCGACCTAGTATGACTGACTGACTGTGTGATTTTGACCGATGACCGGTGTGACCGGCCAGTGTGAACTGAGTGACCACTAATGTGACCTGTAGTTAATGTGACCCTTGCGCGTCAGGCCTATGAGCGTGACCTGTTGACATATTTTCCAGCCGGCTACGCCCGCCTCCGGGACCAGGTGAACCAGCTGAGAATGGAGAACGACGAGCTGAAGGCCAACATCGCCAAAATGCGCTACGGAACAACCTCACAGGTGAGGCTTAAGTGGCGCGGGGCTCTAATATGCATTGTAATTTGACGTCATATAGTGTCTGAGTAACGTTTCAATTATTATACGTGTGATATATCATGTTTCGGCCATCCTGCGTGCCGGCTCAAACCGCCGTTGTTTCCTCTGTGACGGCAGGACGGCTATGTGCTGCGGCGGCACCGGGATAAGATCAACCAGCTGGTCATTGTCTCTGCTATTCTATGGCTTTAACACCACTGTGGTTTTTCCTGTGATGGTAGGACGGCTATGTGCTGCGGCGGCACCGGGACAAGATCAACCAGCTGGTCATTGTCTCTGCTATTCTATGGCTTTAACACCACTGTGGTTTTTTCCTGTGACGGCAGGACGGCTATGTGCTGCGGCGGCACCGGGACAAGATCAACCAGTTGGTCATTGTCTCTGCTATTCTATGACTCTGTTTCCTCCCGTGACGGCAGGACGGCTATGTGCTGCGGCGGCACCGGGACAAGATCAACCAGCTGGTCACCGAGAATGGCGAGCTGGCCAGGGAGCTGCGACGGACACGCTACCTGCAGCCGCCGGCCGGTATCACAGATCAGGTAAAGTACACCACAGGCCGGCCGGGACCACAGACCCGGAACGCTACCGCTAGTTGGTTACGGTGCTAAGTACAGACAAGGCCTGTCTCTTCACTCTCTGACCTCGTAACTTAGTTCCTTCATACAACATATGCCTGTAGCCGCGGACTGCTGTCAGCAAGCATGTTCTTGAATTAACGGAAATATTGATAGCATTGCCTGACACAACTTTGTCGTGTGTACGAACGCAATGCTTATGTTTGTGTTTTCCTATGAATAATGCCTGAAACAGCCTTTTCCGCAGTCAGGAAATCGCATGCGAGAGCCTATTCAAATACATGGAAGCACGCTCGCATCAATCGCACGCACCTCCCGCAAGCGATTGATGCGTGACGAATTACAATGTATTTGAATAGGCTCTCGCATGCGATTTCCTGAACGCGGAAAGAGTCTGTTTCAGCCTTAAGACGGTCATGGTCACATCAGTTTTCCCCCATCCGTGACCCCATGCACTTCCCTGCAGTGGTCTGTAAGTAACTGCTCTGACTTTGTGCCACTGTGTTGTTTCCAGGAGGACGATCCGGCACCTTCTGCAGGACAGCTGCCCACCGTCACCGAGTCAGAGCGTGGTACTGACTCCGACTCCGACTCTGCCGGCGACTCGCCCGAGTTCCTGGCGCCGGCCGCCTACCAGGCCGACTCCAGTGACTCCGCTGACTCAGCCTACTCCAACGACGACTCGGAGGCGTCCTTCACCACCTTCTCCGACTCCGACTCTGACTCTGCCGACTCTGACTATGGCTCCGCCGGCTCGACCTCTGACTCTACGGACGACGACTCGTCTGCGGACGAGGGTCTGCTGGCCGCTCTACTCAGCTGGCGCCCAGCCCCGGGTAGCGTACCTCTCCAGGAGGCCCGCCACCGACTCTGGAGTTTATGGCAGGAAGCGAGCGACTTCAGTCGTGCAGAGCCCGCCAGCAAGTACGTCCAGATGGCCGGTAAGACCCTGGCCAAGGTGGAGAAGACCCTGCTGAAGGCGATGCACAAGGTGCAGCAGTTTGGAGAGGACATGATGCAGGATGACGACGTGGGTGGCGGACGGATGGAAAAGGTGGCCGGAAAACTGGGCAGGAAGGTGGGTAAGGTGGTGGCCAAGCTGGACGCGCGCTGGCAGGAGATCCGCCGCAACTGGGAGGGCAAGGTGGCCGCCCGTGAGGCGCAGACTGAGCAGGAGACGAAGCGGGAGCCGGCCGGTGAACCGGAGCGACCGGCCGGCCTGCCGCCCAACGCGTCCGACCCGTCGGTAGCGGCCTACTACGCGCGCCGCTCGCGCCACCGGCAGCACGCGCGCGGAGAGGACGCCGCCGGCAACTGGCAGATGGAGCGCGGTAAGTCGCGCGCCGAGATACGCGGCGCCTTCCACGGCGCTAGCTGGCTGCTGGAGCGGGCCCAGGCGCGCCAGCAGCTCCGCCAGCGGCGCGGCGAGGAGGCGCCGGTGCCGCCGGTCGACCAGAGATGGCGCCAGGAGCGCGCCGGCCGCCGCGGCGAGGAGGCGCCGCGCACGGACGGAGGATGGCGTCACGAGCAGCAGCAGCAGCAGCGCCACGAGTGGAACGCCGCAGAGGACGACGATGACCGCGACGATGATGATGATGACGACGATGACGATTACGAAGACCACGCGGCGCGACTGGCCCGGCACATGGCGGCCAGCGCCCGGTTTCACGATAGAATACAGAAAACGGTGCACCGCCACGCGGCCAAGATCGACCGCAAGGTGCGGGAGAATCACTGGAAGCACTTTGGAGGCCGTAATCGGCACGAGTTTCGCGAGCGCGGACAGAAATACTAGCGCTGCGTTCAGGTAAATACGAGGACTGTGTGAGAGCGTGCGCTAACTTAGGGTCGTCGTGCGACTGATACGTTTTTTTTTTTCAAAATGTGTACCTAACTATACTGGTCTCTTGAAGAAGGTGGATGTGGTATTGATGGAAATGGATGTGATTGATACGGTGCTAGGCTAGCTTAAGTTTAGTGTTAATGCCACTTAAACGATAGTCTGACGCGATCTGATACAGGCTGCCATGTTTTAGGTTGTCTCTTGGCCACCTTTGTTTTACGTAAGATGGTTTAAGCTTGAGTTGGCACCTGTCAGGTTATTGTACGGCAGATAAGATAAAAGATTATTCAGGTAGTTACATTTCGTGAATCCGACAGGCGACAAGTCTCCTTGGTGATTCTGAACACAAAATTCGTTCCACTTAAAAATTGCGACTTTCAATTGTTTCATCGATAAGCTTAGGTACTGGCGTGGCTTGGGTTTAGCATTAGCGAATATCGTGTGGTGTACCATGTTTTGTATGCTGGTAAAGTTTGCTGAAAGTCGTAGATATCCAGACGTTCGGTGGTGACTGCGTTGGTAATGCTGGTAAGCAGTAGTCAGTTTGCTAGGTTACTCTAGATAAGTTCTACATGTAAGTCGTTTTAAGAGCTTCTACCCGCTATTTCGGGCAACTGGACAGATGCATGTCATTTGACCGATTTTTTTTTAGGACTTTTATAATTGTTCTTACTACCGGTTGCTTTCCGACTCCAATAGTTGCGTTATGGTTTAGGGCGCATAATAATTGCGCTGATTCGCTTGCATGCTTCCAACCCACAGCGCTTGGGCTCAGATACGCGAGCGTTTCTGACAATGGACGTAAGCACTTCACGGAGACTGGCTACACGGTCGTACCATTTCATCTGTGTGTAGTCGCTATTTCCCCGAGATAATATGCCATGCATGTTTGACGACATTTGTAGATGATACCGCCTAGTCGCCCAGCACTGGTTGTCTTTCCGTGGCCCTCTCCCCGTCTACTAAGCAATGTGGACGTTTGAACCAGGAACTGCTTTTGTGGGAGGGTATTGACTGTCTTTCTGTAACCGAACTGTAGCGGAACAAAGAACATGAGTTCAGTGTGGGCTGTGCCGAGAGTCGACCCAACTGAACGGAACAATAAACACCGAAACTGCCGCTCTGTCTTCTAGAAGTGACTGGTTCTCGCAGCACTGATACTCGTGCTGACGCTCTGGTATCGCTCAAGATGTGATGACTAGCATTTGCTGTTATTTAATGACTTCGTTTCAGACTAGTCAAATGGAGACAATGTAGACTGGACAATCGGAGCAGGGTGCCGCGGAGTGGCCGGTCTCGTATAGCTTGCTTCTTGCGAGATGTTAGGTTCCTTCCACACCCGATTACTGTTCAAAAGGCACCAGACGTCAGAGGCTTCTCTGTGGTACTGGGATGAAGAAACCGCCAACATACGCCATCGAGCTCAGTACTTTATAACTACGTTTCAAAACTTTCCCCACATGCCCCAGTCCAAACACTATCGATGGGCATTCATGAGATATATTTTGTCCTGGGCCCGTCAGGCGTCACGAATCTCTGTACATCCCCTGGGTCTCTTATCCGCCCCACAGCTGCCTACTTACAGCCACGGTACCGTCAGCACAGGACACTGCCAACGATAGGCATTAGGCACCCCTCTCAGCACACGACATTGCCAACGATAGGCACCTCTCTGGGACACACGACACTGCCAACAATAGGCACCCCTCGGAAACCGCCCGACCATAGGCACCTCTGGGCACAGGAACGCACCGACGGGCGTACAGCCAAGTACTTTCGATAAAATGTGTTCTCTAAACATCAAACTACTCTCGATAAAAATGTTTCGTCACCAAGCTACCACATATCTACAAATTTAGCGGCCATTTCTCCCCCGTAGTCGCCAGTAAAACACAGCTGCGTCCGGTTCGGTCTGCCCGGGACACATCACAGCTGACCGCAGGCGGCCCCGCACAGCTGCTTACGTTCCATGTTTGCAGCCCTCTGGACCCCACGCGGCCCCAGCTATACACGATATGATCACCAGAGACCCACCATAAAGAGCATACAAAACTAGAGCGGCCAGCGTGGCCCCGTCAACGACTCGGCAGTTGACACAGCGAAAGGACGGGCCGCGGATTCTGACCCCCTGCGGAGCATTAGAACTTCATACAGTTGCCTCGGGTCTACAGGTTTTAAAAATACCATGATCTGCCAATGCATGAATCTCATCGAAACCTCGCGACTTCCCATCTTCGTCAAATCATCCGTCTGAATATGAAAGGCCACAAATGTCACGGACATCGACGCAAGCTGACGTTCTCGGCGGCAGGGCCCATGCGAGTCCCCGAGGGCCCACGGAGGTCCAGCAGCCCCGGCGCCGCAGCTCGCTACAAACTAGTCGGCCGGACGTCCAACATCACAACCCACCGCTGCCGCCGCCGGCGGGCGGTATATGATGATATGCACTGTGTAAAATAGACGCTATTCTCTCTAACGGACGGACGGATGTAGCGACGGCGGCGCTCGCCAGTCTCGATCACAAGCTGCCGCCCTGGTCGGACGGCCGGCCGGTTAGTGGTGTGTTGTGTGGGGTTAGTGGTGAGAAGCTCACTCTCTCTTCCTCTGCGTCCTCGCTCGGCGCCGCCTGGTCTCTGGGGCAGCTGGACAGTTAGCCGGTCTCGGCAGCAAACATCTTCATCTTCTCCTTGAAGGAGAGTTTCTCCGGCACGGGAGAGTGCTCCGGCTGGCGGTCCTGCATCAGCGCCAGACGCCGAGTGCGCGGGTCCCTGCGGCGCGGGGAGAAGTGGCGTGTCGGTGGATATGGGTGGAGTGAGCGGTGGTCGACATAGTTACACTAAAATCAACAGTTATATACAGAAACAACAATCAGGGAACCAGTCCTCAGATCACGATATGTCAAAATTAGTGATAAGCAAATAGCAGCAATAGCAGACTGTAAAGAGAGCGGGACTTACAATCCGGTACAATAGTAAAACATTCGATTTTCTTACCCTGGCCTCGTGTAGGTGTTCTTCTGGGTCGAGATCAATCTGTCATCGCTGACTTTGTTTTCCCCTGAATAGTACTAGCATCAGCAAAACACACAACCCGTCTACCCTTTCCATGCATTCCCCTCGCCCCTCAATCTCTTGTGTCCCTCGGCACACCGCACCAGCCCGTCCCTCCCAGCTGGTACTCTTCAGTCACCCGGTCCCACCTCACGGCCCGCCGCCTCCTGTTCCCGTCCCGTCTCACCTGTACACCTCCTGAGCGCCGATGACGCCCGGCGTGGCGCTGGCGTCCACACTGGAGGAGGTGGGTCCCTCGGGCGGCGAGATGCTGGTAGCGGCCATCATCTGTCGCGCCTCGTCAATGAACCGGTCCGGATCGTGGTGTCGGCCGCCGCCGGCCGGCTGCAGCGGCGGCGGCGGCGTGCCGGCCGGCTCGTTCAGCTGCACGCGCCGCGTGCTCACCACAGACGCCACGGCTACCTCCGGTTTGGGCGGCACGGCCGGCGGCCGCAGCTCACCGGCCGTGGTCACCGCGCCGAACGAGACGGTGCGGCCGGGCGGCGGCGGCGCGGCCGGCTGGGTGCGCGCGCGCGCCACCGCCGCCGTGGCGGCCGCCACGCGCTGCCTGTCCTCGTCCATCTGGCGGCGCTGGCGGTCCTCCTCCATCTGGCGGCGCCGCTGCGCCTCGCGCAGGATGCCCTGCTCGGCCTGCTGGGCGGCCTCGAGCTCCGCCTGGCGCCGGCGCACCTCGTCCGTTCGACTGCCGGCCCCCGGCGCCGGCGGCCGCTCCAGCTGCTCAGAGCTCGGGAGAGCCGGCGGCTGCTCGGACGGCGGTGGCGGCGGCACGTCCGAGTCGGCCCGCGAGTTGTTCATCTCCTGGGAGAGGGTCAGTTCATGTAAGTCCAGCTTACTGCCAGGTGTTTCTAGTCTGGACAATAGACGTAAAAACATTTAACAACCCCCTGGCCCCAGTGTGGCTAAATTCATTTTACGTTAGGGGGAGGATGTAGAAAAAAAGGCCGGAGAGGATGTCGTTATTTTCATAAAATTTGACTTCGACCCTATTTAAGCACTGTTTTTATACATGTCACGAGAAAATGATGTAGAAACTGAACTATGAGGGCATTCTGATATTCGGGATGTTAAATGAGGTTTTTAAGTCGGGTCATATATTTTATCATTTTGGTTATTCGAATGGTTGTCTTGGCGTGTTGTCAGAGTTTGCGAGGTTTGTGTTTCTCTTGCTCCTAGACGTTTGGGTTCGAGGTTGTTGTTATAAGTCGTGACTGCCGTGTGGATGTTTTTATTTATATTTTTAGGATGTCATTATGCTTTTCATTATGGGTGGATTTCCCCGCAACATTACGATTTTGGACACACTGCCTGGCCCATCTAACCGTCACCCTGACTCATTTTGCCATTCTTTTCAAACTGCAGTCATGGCGTCATACTCTACTATTCGATGCCAAACCTACCGGGTTATCATGCTAACCTTTCAATAAAAATTCACCAATACGATCACGCATCATCGCTGCCAAACATACCTGGTTATCATCATCATCATCTTCATCCTCGTCATCGTCATCGCCGCCGAGGTCACAGCGCTCCTGGAAGCGCTTCTCGAGCACCAGCGCCTGCAGCTGCTCCTGCTCGCGGCGGGAGCGGTTCGGCAGTCCCTCCAGGTACTCAATCAGCTGGTCGCGGTACTTGCGGGCCACCTCCTTCTTGCGATTCTCCTCCTGCTGTGGAACGGGACGGGCGGGCGGTTAGAAACAGGCGGCTAACACCGCGAAGAATGTGGCTGGGCGCGAGATTGATAATAGCGCGCCAGCACATCATCAGATTCAGGATCAGACAACTTGGTAAGATAGCCTGAAATAGTTACTCCGCAACGGATAAGTCCCATCATTCAGAGGTGTTATTCTGCAGCAAACTTTGTGCAAAAGCGGGATCTTGAAAAAGGGCCTGCCATTGACAGTCAAAGCATGCATGATTCCTGATGGTCAGCCCCTCCCAGAGACCGGCTGGTTTTCCCCAGCCTTCGGTTCCCCGCACCCACCTTTTCTCGCTCCTCGCGCGTCCACGGGTTGCCGGCGTCGTATCCGGCCTGCTGCGCCGGCGGCGGCGGTCGCTGCGGCGGCTGGCCGTACAGCGGGTGCGTCTGCGCCGGCGGCGGCGGCGGCGGCAGCGGCTCGCCGTACAGCTCCTGGGGCGGCGGCGGCCGCGCCGGCGGCGGCTCCTCGAACCGCACCGCGGGCGCGGCCGAGGCCGGCGGCGGCGGCGGCGGCAGATCGGAGAAGCTCTCGGTGCGACTGCGGCGGCGCTGCGCCATCGGCTCCGGGCCCGACGGGCGCCGCTCGCCGTAGGGTGACGACAGCGGCGCGCCGCCGGCGGCGCTGTGTGGCGGCAGTGGGGGCCGGTCCGGCGGTGCCGCGGGTGACGCAGGGGCCGCACTGTGGGGCGGCAGGGGCCGCTCCCCGTACCCGGGCATCCCACTGGCGCTGGAGTGGGGCGGCAGCGGCCGGTCGCCGTAGGGCAGAGCGCCGCCGCTGGAGTGCGGAGGCAGCGGTCTGTCGCCGTACTGTGATAACACGCTGTTGTTGGCACTGCTGTGAGGCGGCGGCGGGCGGTCCCCGTAGGACAAGACACCGCTGTTGGCACTGGAGTGGGGCGGCGGCAGAGGCCGGTCGCCGTGCTGTGAAATTCCGTTTGACGCGCCGTGAGGGGGTAGAGGTCGCTCGTGGCGGTCCCCATACGGCGCCATACCTCCATCGGGCGGCCCGTGCGCCGAGACGGGTCGCTCATACCCATACCCTGTCATACCCTCCGCGGAGCCGTGGGGCGGCCGCTCGCCGTACATCAGCCCGTTGCCCGGCGCGCCGCCGTGTGCCGGGGGCCTGTCCGCGGGCCCGGGGCCGCCGCGGCCGCCCGGCTCGGCCCCCAGACCCGGCGAGAGCTGCTCGCTGTACGGCCGGTCCGGTCCGGCTGGCCGCGGCGGCTCGAACGCGCCCGGGCCCGTGTTGCTGTACGTGGCGCTGGAGTGCCGGTGCCGCAGGTGCTCGTGCTCGGAGACGGAGCGGGGCATCTCTGAGCGCGGCCCGCCCGGCATCTGAGGACAAGGCGGGAGCTGGTGTGAGCCGATGCGTAAGATCAGCCAAACATGATCGACAGCTGAATTATGAAACCAGCTTTAAACCAGATGGGTAACCAAAATTATAATTAGAAAGATGCGAGTACGTCATCAGGTAGCGTGATGTCACAATCAATGAACACAATAAAATGAAACAGAAATACTTTAAAATGGCCAACCAATGGCATACATGTGTTCAATTTCATGCCTTCCTTGTTTTCAATTTCAAATGGCTAACATTTGTCTTCATTATTATACCCGCGGTAGAATATGCAACAATAACCAATTCCGATTAAGCACACCATGACTTTATCTTGCAGTCACGGCGTCCGTTCTATCCCTCACCTGTCCCAGCATCTGCGCCGGCATCTGTCCGGGCTGTCCCTGCTGGTAGTGGGCGTGCACGGAGATGGGCCGGGGCGGCGGCGCGGGCCCCGGGGCCGGGCCGGGCCCGCCGCCGGCCGGGCCGCCCGGTTTGTGCAGGTTTTGGACGGAGCGCGAGCGGGCGTGCGCGGCGGTCGGCGCGCCGGGGCCCGGCAGTGCCGCCAGGCTGGCGTTGGACGCCGACAGGTTGAAGCCCGGGTTGTAGGTCTCCTGGTGGCCGCGACTGACGCCGGCCATCGGACCGCCGCGGTCGCCGCCGTCCGCTGCGGGCGAGAGGAGGTGGTTAGCTCAATAGCGACAATAAACACAGCAAAAATGCAGCATATTTAAGTTGCTGCACATTTATGATCAATGAAGCTTCAACGCAACGCACATATGTAATCAGCCAGCCGTACCTGGCCAAATAAAACGTTTTCCCGATTAGCAATGTTACCAACAGCCTCATACTTCGCCTGGTGCGAGCCCCTCCATAGAATCCCTTCAATGGACAAGATCGACATAACCACCCGTTCTCCAGCCAGTACTCACAGCTCAGCGCCGGCACCGACTTTGCGCTCTGGATGCGCCCGGTGGGCGGCATCCCGCCACGTTCACTGGCACGTCGGCTCCCTGCGGCACACGAGACAGGCGTCACTCGGGGGGGGGGGGGGGATGGGAAGGGCCGCCGACCATAGAGTACCTTTGTAAATCGTGGAGGATATACGGTATTAAAAGGGTCTATGGGCAGCTAAGGAACCCAGGTAGTCTCTCTCACCTCATCACGCGTCTGTGAGCATTGTGGTTGATAGCTGTGAGAGTAGTCACACCCCTGGACATGTCTCTCACCTCTGAACACGCCTATCTCACCTCTGGACACGGGGGGTGACGGCTGTGAGAGTAGTTCACACCCCTGGACATGTCTCTCACCTCTGGACACACCTATCTCACCTCTGGACATGGTGGGTGACGGCTGAGAGAGTAGCGCCGTCAGCCGGTGGTAGACGGCAGCCTGTTTAGCCACGCGCAGCAGCACCACCGGGCCCGTCTTCATCATGTACTCGGCCGCCCTGCCGGCGAGAAGTGGGGTTCATACAGTCAGAGGGGCAGGCTGAAAGGATGGGGGAGGGGAGGCCGGGTGGAGGGAACGAAACGCGCAGACTGGTGGAGGTGGATCCGATTTATAGTCGCAGAGTCCGACAAGACTTAGCAGTGCTGCCGCAATACCAGAACATGAACAGCTGGCTGCGGTTAACACTGGACAATCAGTTCGCAATACTTTAAATATTATACTTTATGTATTTCATTTATTCTACTGAAGGGAGTTCCATGGCTAGATGTACAAGACTTAGCAGTGCTGCCGCAATACCAGAACATGAACAGCTGCGGTTAACACTGCACAATCAGTTCGCAATACTTTAAATATTATACTTTATGTATTTCATTTATTCTACTGAAGGGAGTTCCATGGTTAGATGTAATCATTGGGGCATCACGATTTTAGGGCAACCAGTACAAAAATACACATTACACACTTTTACAAAGCCCACATCCTCACATGTTCGTCGAACCCTGACCACATCCGGCATTTCTTACTGCTCGCCTTTTCCTTCGCACCACGTCGTGTGTCACTCACTGTTCCTGCGTGAATATGCCGATCAAGCTGTGTCTGTCCACTATAAATACATCAATCACTGTTCCATCAGGCTGTGTCGCCTATATTCGTCCACCTCCCCTCCCCTCCCTTCCCTTCCCCAACTCACTGTTCCTGGGTGATGCCGATCAGGCTGTGTCCGTCCACCTACCCTCCCCCCTCCCTTCCCTCCCCAACTCACTGTTCCTGGGTGATGCCGATCAGGCTGTGTCCGTCCACTATAAATACATCACTCACTGTTCCTGGGTGATGCCGATCAGGCTGTGTCCGTCCACCTCTAGTAGCTGGTCCCCGGCCGCCAGTCGCCCATCCAGGTCCGCCGCGCCGCCGCGCACCACAGACTTGACGTAGATGCCCGCCTGCTCCTGGCCCAGGCCCTGGAGGACGGGACGGGGAGTGAACGGAAGACGTTAGTGATGAACCAGTGACGATATAGGTTTCTGGGAAATTAGAGACAAATCGCATCACAATAAAAGAATACCTGTTCACACATGCATAATCAAATGAGCATGACAATGTGAGAAAAGAAGTTCGACTAACTGCCTCTTGACATGAAAAAACGTTGACACTACAGAGGCCTTACCTTGGCGGCCACGATGCTCAGGCCCATGCCGGTGTTGGACTTTTGCAGTTTGATGAGCTGCACCTCGGGTTCGGCGGGCGGCGGACCGCCCCCGCCCCCGCCCGGCGGGCCGCGCGCCCCCATAGACCGGTTGGACATGGCTGACGGGCTGCGCATTTGCTGTGGGGAAGGCGATGGGGGACAGGCCGCGTTAGAGATGCAACACATCACGGATATGTATAACATGTGGGAAATGGTTGGACAACGTTTTGAGAATCTAGGTACTGTTGAGGAAAGCTTCAGTCATCCTTTTTAGTCGTGGTTGCGTGGTGTTATATAACTATACCATTTTTCCTTCAGTTCGTTCAAACTGAGAGAAAAAGTGTAGTCTTTATTGCGTTAATAGTGACATATCGTGTTTTAAACATGGTAAAACTACATATGACACATTGCAGCTAAAAAGCAGTGATGACTGAGTACAATTTTTAGTCAACTGGCACACCAGCAGCCCGCCCGCATCACTGACCGGCGGCCGGTGCTCCTGGCCCGTCATGTAGATGGTCCAGTAACCCCAGCTGGTGGGCTGTTCGCTCATCCGAGCCAGGCCCGCGTGCTGCAGCGGCGCTATAAACTCGGTCAGACCTGCGGTGAGTGGGTCAAAGGTCAGATCAGAGGTCAGAGCGGGCTGCAGCGGCGCTATGAACTTGGTCAGACCTGTGGTGAGCGGGTCAGGGGTCAGGCCAGAGGTCACACATACTGCAGCGGCGCTATGAACTCGGTCAGACCTGTGGAGGTCGGGTCAAAGGTCACGTCACAGGTCACGACTGTGCTGCACGGGTAGATAGATCCGCACCAATATCGTGCGGCGTGGTTGAGGTGTGTGGTGCCTGATTGTTGACGCCGATTTTGTTAATTAACAGCTGCAGTCAAGTTGAGTTACAACAACAGTCAAGTTAAAGATATGTTGTTGAGTGCTCTCGCAAGGTATAGCGTCGCAATTACAGGAAATGGTGTGCTCCAACGCAGCAACTTAGGCTGCACACGAAAAACAACTCCGTGGTGGAATGTACGATAACATATATAAATCAATATTCGGATGACACTCATGCTGCTTTACACGAAATAGCATACCCCACGGTCTGCAGTACAACAACAACCCAAAGTCGATATGGCTCCAAAGTCCAGCAACGTAATTTACAATCAGTGATAGTTGCTGACTGTTCACCAGCAGCGGGTCAACAGAGCGGCTCTGTTAACCAAATGTGTACCAAGATAAATCTCGCAAGTCCTCCGTCGTCAAGGGTGGCATGTCAATCGATATAAACTGCACAAAACCATACAATCTCCGTCACTGACCGTTGGGTATGCCGCGCACGATGTCCGACGAGTACCCGTCCTCGGGTAGGAGGAACGGCAGCTGCAGGTCCCTGCTCTCCTCCAGACGCACCGGCCGGCCGTCCTGGCGGGCCAGCTCGTCCGACGTGCTCTCGGCAATCTGCGACCGGGACGGGACGAAAGTTAAACACTTGGCAATATATTGTGACAGGGGGGGGGGGGTGACTGGTTGCGCACAGGGACCTTACGGCACCGCACGACGATGAGTTGGGGTTTTGGGCGCCCAAATTAATAATAGTGGTCTGCGCCGCCATACGGCCACTGTTCACCACACCACTCCACTCACACATATCATCTATATCAGTGACCATAACAAATTAACTATATAACGTAAACAAACAAAACAAAACAAAACAAACATAACATAAAATATCTGCATCGCGCCCGCTCGCCCGCTCTCCCCCCTCCCCTTACACTCACCCTGACAATATTGTCGATGAGCTGAGGGGGTATTTTGGCCGGCTCGTCGGCCGCCGGCTGGTACCGCTCCAGCATCGCCCTCAGCTGCAGGGAGTTCAGCTTGTAGCACGTGCTCGTGATACCCGTCAGGTCGTCCACGTTGTTCTTGGGAGCCTGTGGGCAAGATGAGGGGTGGCTACGAGCGTGAGGTCGGACCTGCATTTCAGATTTTACTAGGTTTTACCTGAGCAGTGTCACTAGATCAGCATAAAGTTTTTCGCTCGCAGGCAAACGCATACCAGACCGGAGACCCTGGCTCTGCCTCACCCCTCCGCCCCTGTAATGCACATGAGCAGCCCGGCTCGTCCCTCCGCTCATCTATCTTACCATAAATGAGTGGTGTGCACTACACAGCCCAAGAGGTGTCCCAAATACTGTCAGTGGGTAAGTCCGTCTGTATCACCTCTCTGTCCCCCGCCTCCCACCTATTGTATTTGTATCTCACCATCAGGTAGGTGAGCGGTGTTTCTCTCCCCGTTCCCCTCTATCTTACCGTGAGAAGGTGAGCGGCCTGCACCACCCGGCCCAGGTGGCGGTCGGCGGCCGGGCTCCTATCTTACCCCTTCGTCCCCTTTCTAACCTCCCCTCTATGTATCTCACCGTCAGTAGATGAGCGGCCTGCACCACCCGGCCCAGGTGACAGTCGGCCGCCAGCTCCAGGCCCTGGCGGTCCGCCCACAGCTCGGTACGGCTCAGTCGACGCTTCAGGCGCTCGCCCCACATCCTACCGGAAAATCAACACACGGAGTTGGCGTAAGTGGGCGGAGCAGCACCCAGGGTGCTCATTTATACCCCGACCGAACAGCTAGAGTTCACAAGTTCGGCGAGTTTCGATCAAGTCCAGGTCAAACAAACGTCTATTTCGGAGAATCTTCAGTTTTAAAAGGATGTGCAGAGCCGAACGTCCCACGCAGCGGGATGCGGTTCGGAATTCAGGCTGAAAAGATGCATAACGCCTTAAGCGAGCTAGCAGGATGTGGCATCTATTATAGCTGAGCAGAGAAATGGAGTATTACGTAACTACTGCACCTCCACGGCCTAAATTCAGCGCAGCTGGGATCCTGGTCAGAAACTGAGCACAGCTGGTGCGTCGAGCAGGTTCCCACATACATCCAACAGCTCGTGAGAGAAGGCACACAGACACTTGAACTACTCTCAGAGCATTTTGCACAAGAACTGACGACAGCCCACGCCAAAAATGACTAATTGTTCTAGAAGAACAACACCTCCGCTAAATATCTGTACAAGAACAACACAGTCTTCCCGCACCGACAGATCATACTTGCAATAATGAATAATAACTGCATATGTTATAGCAATAGCTGCCAACGACAAGATGAATTTGCTTATAATTAGACATTTCATACCCACCGGCTACCACGCATCAAAGCGTCATCGTTTTCACCATCACCACGCAAACCATCCCACCCCGACCGCTAACTAACCTGCTGCAGTAGTTGACCGGTCCGGGCATGACGAGCATGTTGAACACGCCCATGTTGATGTAGTGGAAGAGCTGTGAGAACAGCTGGATGGTGAGGGCGGCGTTCACCCGACAGCGGCGCAGCAGCGCCATCGTGTTACCCAGAGTACTCAAAACCTGGCGGACGGAGAATAGTGATTAGACGTTTTCCACGGTGTTTTCGCCGCAGCCTCTTCACCGCCCTCCCTGAACATTTTCATTCGGTACTCTCATCCCCCATCCCCCATCCTCCCAAACGTCCGCACCTCGGCAGTGGTGCCCTCAATTGGTACACTCGGGGGCAGATTGATGTTCCACCACTCCCTTCCCATCGGGCTCCCATGGCTCAGCACTGGCTGCTGCCAGTGGCAGCACTGGCAGCACTGGTACTGGCAGGCAGTGCTGAGCAGTGCTGAGGGCAGGCAACACTGACAGCAGCCAGTGCTGAGCCACGGGATCGCCCGATGGGTAGGGAGTGGTGGAACATCAATCTTCCCCCGAGTGTACTAGCAGCACCCCTGCCCCCGATTCCCTCCCAAGCGTGCCCACCTCGGCAGTGGTGCCGTACCGTATGGTGCCACCCCTACTCCCTCCCAAACATCCTCACCTCGGCAGTGGTACCCTCGTCCTCGTCCAAGTCGCCCCGGTCCCCATCCTCTCCGAAGCGCGCCTACTTCGGCTGGGTACCCTCATCTGGTACCTCCCAGTACCTCTATCCCTTCTCTACCGTGCTCACCTCGGCAGTGGTACCCTCCTCCTCATCCGAGTCGTCCCGGTCCTCGAGGAAGTGTCCGATGGAGCCGCCCAGTTCCGACTGAACGTTATCCACCAGGTTCCTGTCAGAGCGAGTTACAAGGTGACGGTCATATGGGCACATACCCGGGGCGGTAAGATGGAGCCGCCCAGCTCCGATTGAACGTTATCCACCAGGTTCCTGTCAGAGCGAGTTACAAGGTGACGGTCAACTGGGCACATACCCGGGGCGGTTAAATGGAGCCGCCCAGCTCCGACTGTAAGTTATCCACCAGGTTCCTGTCAGAGCGAGACGGAGAGACGGTCATATGGGCACATACCCGGGGCGGTAAAATGGAGCCGCCCAGCTCCGACTGTAAGTTATCCACCAGGTTCCTGTCAGAGCGAAACGGAGAGACGGTCACAGCAGCGCATAGCTGAGGCGCTCCAGCTATAATTACATTCATTCGGCAGAAGGAAGCACGATATAGGCCGCGGCAGGGGGTCGAAAGGATGATGAAGAGTTAACCCGCGCCCTGGTGGGGTCTGTTTATAACGCGACCTGGTGGGGGGGGGGGGCTATTTTTTGCCCCTCCCTCGTATCTCCGAAACTACTGGACGGATCCGCAAAATTCAAACGGCGTTCGATAGCCCTGTCAAATTTGTCGAGGGAAACCAAATTTTATTGACCTCGGGGTCACCGATGACGTCACAGGTCAGGTCAAAGATAAAATGTTTCACCGTTCACGGGGCTTCTAGGGAAAGCGCTATAACACCGAGTAAAATGCAGGGTTGTGCTTGACTCATGAGTCGAGTCAGAAATTTGACTCAACTCTGACTCAAATGAGTCAGATTTGAGTCGAGTCGGATAAAATGTTGAGCTGTTGAGTTGAGTCAGAGTTGAGTCGGACAAAAATATTAAGGTGTTGAGTTGAGTCAGAGTTGAGTCAGTAAAATAACTTTTGACATTGAGTTGAGTCAAAAACATTTAGGAACCTGAGTCAGCTGACTCAACTTTCTAGAAGCAATATATAGTATAAGTTTTTCATTCTCCCCCGCTTAACAACTTAGGCCTGGCCCTGCTTCCGGATTTTTTCACCCCCCCCCCCCCGCTCAACAACTTTTTTATCTGAGTCAATTTTGAGTCAACACACTTGACTCAACAAAAAAATTGAGTCAAGTTTGAGTCAACTCATATTTTCATTGAGCCGCTTGAGTCATGAGTCGAGTCAAGGGAAAAAATTAGCTCCTTGTTTGAGTCAGAGTTGAGTCAGGGCATTCTGAAGTTGAATGATGAGTCGAGTCGGCAAATTTTTTTGAGTCGAGCACAACCCTGGTAAAACGCATTTTGTCGAAAATCAGCGATAAGACGTCAGTTGTCTAGTACATATGTTGCTATTAGAGGTCACTGGTCATAACAGGTCAGGTCACAGGTCAGGTCACCAAAGGTCACCAAGGGTCACCACATGAACCCAACTTTACTAAGGTTGTGCGATGCATGTTTTATGGCCAGTTTTTCATTTCCAACCCAATGGTGTTGGTTATAAGACCATCAGGTGCGGTTTAGGTCACTTTCTGGTGGAGGTCAGGTCAAGGTCAGGTCAAAAAAGGTCAAATTTCAAAGTTGATATTTTTGCATAAAATGGGTATCGATTCGATGCAGCTCGTCACGGGGAGTCTAATGGTGGTCTTTGTTTTGCACTACGGGGGTCTAGAATTGCTAAAAATTGAGTTTGAAAATTTGACGTCATCAATTTTGAACAGTTTTTTCGCTATAACTTCGCCAAAAAAAGAGGTATCAATCTAAAATTTGGTATGTGGATGGAAGGCGGTAAGGACTATCACATATATTCCGGTTTTTGCGAAATTCAAAAAACTTTTTGGATTTTCGACTATTATATCCCAAATATCTATTTTTTGATTTTTGGGGGTCAAAATAAAAAAAAATCATAAATCCGAGATAGCAGTTTTGTAGCCCTGTCAATTCTACAGCTTTTATGTCCTAAACGTTTTTCTGTATTTGCAAAGCTATAGGCCTGACAGCTCTTCCCGCGAAACCCTTTTTTGGGTCGGAAACGGCAGAACATGACGTCACTCTGACGTCATTTCCGGCCAACCTATCATAGCCTTTGGAAAAATTTTTGGTCACAATGTGTAAAATTGATGTCCGGGAGGGTACTGAAAGTTTGGTGACGATCGGCGCAGCGGTTCTGGAGATATATCGAAAAGTCTGGAGGGGGGCAAAAAATAGCCCCCCCCCCCCACCAGGTCGCGGGTTAAGCAACATTCGGAAGCCCGCAAAGATTTTGGAACCGGATCAACGTAATAAAAACTCGATCTGAGCGAAGCGCACTTTAGAAGAATCTGGAAGAATGCCAACTTCGACACAGGGTCCTTCTGAGTGAGAAGCAAGATAAAAAACATAGTATAAGAGCTGAACGTCTGTAATAACCTAGAGAAGAATGCTATTACATAAGTTATTACACGACTGAATGTAACAATACTGTAGGCTGCAACAGTGTTCGAAAGTAGTCGTGCTGTTTCACCTGAACTTTCTTTACAGGGACAAGTAACCAGTAAACAATGGGCTTGAAGAGTTTTATAATCATGCGTTCATCCGGGAACTGAATACCATTACGGTTCACATGATAAGTAGGCAGTGGACACGTCTGGTGGGGGAAGGATATACCTGATGCAGCCAGCAGACGATAAAAAGTAAAATCACCGAAGAACGCCTACGTCCCCTATCGGTTAAAAAAGGTTCCCACATTACCCAGAACATCTTAGCTATCGATTTCTAATCGAATTCTAAGCTATCTAAGCCAGTCGTATATACAGTCCCACTCATTCCCCTCTAACTCACAAATAGGACAACTGGACACTCATCACTCCCCTACAACTCACCAGAAGGCCAGCTGCTGGACACTCTCGCTGCTCCCCTCTTAACTCCCTGCTGCATGTCCCTATGAAGTTACAGTTACCGTACAAGCGTATGACCCCAGGGGAATCTATCACGACGTCCCTCTAACTTGCCACTCTCTCTAACTCGTCTCTCTCCGTCTAACTCACCAGAATGCCGACTGGACGCTTTCGCCATTAACTCACCATAAGGCCGACTGAACACTCTCACCACTCCTTCTCTAACTCGCCACTCTCGCCACCCTAACTCACCAGAATGCCGACTGGACGCTCTCGGCCAGGATGTCCTGGGCGTCGCGGCTGTAGGCGCTCACGTGCCGGTCCTGTTTGAGGAAGTGCAGGTACTCGGACGCATTGGCCATCCAGAACGCCAGGGAATTGGCGTCACCGCGACGCATCTGTGAAAGGAGAGGGTAAGGGAGAGGGGGTCAGGCGATGTGGGAATATAGAGTGCGAGACACGACGGAACGAGTAGAGGGACTGCTTATTTATATTGTAAGTGAATGTGCGTGCAATCGTTGATCAACGTGGTAAACGTGTAACATGAGAGGAATCTCCCTCTCTAACCAGTGAAAGTTGAAACATTTACTTCGTGTACCCAATATTGCCCCACCGAGCTTACAGAAAATACATCACACATTTAAAAATCCCCATAAGTATCTGCCGCTCTCTCCGTTCAAACCGTCTCCAATGTGACCACATAGCCGCTCTTCCCAGCCCTAACCCAGCTTCGTCCAAACTGTTACTGCTCAGCACCATCTCTACGCCTGCCTATAATTATAGACCCGTGTCCGTTCAGAGGTTTGCGGTGAGTCGCCGCGGCCGGTCGGTTCAGCGGCCCGACTGGGCGCGATCCACGACCGGCCGCAGCCCGGCCCACAGTACGGCCGGTTCTGGACCCCTGCACGGTCATCATTACGAACACGGGTAGGAGGCGAACAGAGGCCCACAGTACGGCCGGTTCTGGACCCCTGCACGATCATCATTACGAACACGGGGATCGTGGAGTGGCGAGACAAGTGTGCTCAAGGTATCATCCACTGGACACTCAGCAATCGGCAGAACGCCACCACTAACGAATGAGTCAATACAACTGCCACTTTTAGCCAAGTAGCATGGGCACTGGGCAGTAACAGAGTACCATCTCCCAATTAAGCACAGTCTCAGCTCGATGTCACACTGCAATTATACGCCCGCGTAACGTGTTTGTCACGGCATCACTTGCCTGCACAACATCTCGGATCATGGAGGCCACCTTGGCCAGGACGTTGGTGAGCCTTAGAGCTCTCTCGTTGGGCGACAGGTCACTGCGATAGTGGGTGCTGGCCCGAAACCTGGCGACAAACGGCAACCAACAGATGTCAGTCAGAATCTTATCCTAATGGTTAAAGGCTGATAATAAGTCGGCACGTTTACTGAAAATAGCGTTATACAGATACATAAAAGGAGGTGAGGTAGTAGGCAAGTTGTGATATCACAATATCAATTCACATCACCAAGTTCTTTCAGCGGTGGTGAGGGAAGAATAAATTGTACAGTCAGGTCTGTCAGGACTCTAGAGCCTGCCTAAAACTCACCTCGCGGCCATGTAGAGAGTATAGGTGGGCGCCAGTTTGAACTGCAGGCTGCTCGGGTCGAGCCGCGTAATGACGGCCCGCAGGAAGGCGTCCTCGGTCTCCTCTCTGAACTCGAGCACGGCCGGCAGGATCGGGTCGCTGCCCCGCCGGAAACTGGCGTAGTTGTTCGACCTGATGGACACACAGCAGCGGCGTCACGTTTAGATGCACATCAGTACAAATGGCACATAAACAACATAAATAATTACATAATGTAATTTGGGCATGGGCCGAAACACTATCATGAATGTAACAAAGTTATGTCAAAACAAACAGCAGAGACAGAACAACGTATCCCTACACCTTTGCCCATAACCATCCTTTATTTCTACGTAATCAACGTACTGATAACCATGCAATAACAACATCGGATTTATCACCGACAGCGCACGACTTTCTGTGATCAGGAAACGTCGATATCCGAGCGGCTTCATCAACAGCGTTCATCGGCTATTTTCGGCTAAATGGATGTCGCATTGCATCACGCTCGCGGCCTAATCCTTGCCAGATGAAACCGAAACCGAAACGATATCTGGGATCATAGGCAAAATATGACAGACATCTGACAAAGCTCCAATTACTTAGAGCCGACATCCTGTCCAGCTAATCCAGGCATACTCACTCATCACGGGTCACGGGTGGCACGCTATTGATTATACCCCAATACCTGGTCACCAGGTAGCCAAGGTGCGGGACCAGACTGTCTGACTGTATCCGTCCGCGACCTTACCACTCGTCCTCCGTTGTCCGAGCGTTGTGCGACCCTTTCCCATTATCAACTGTCAGGCAGACAGACAGAACAGACAACTGTTTGCGATTCCCTGACATGATTGTCGTAAGACATTGCGTGATCACTGCCTAAGCAAAGCCCACTTTCTTACCGTCTGACCCGACTCCTTACCTTCTCTCAGACTGCCGTCTGCCCTCTCTTCCCTCTCCGTTCGACCGCTCCAACATACCCTTCGTTTCCTACCGTCTGCCCTACTCTTTACCCTCCATCCAAGCACCGACTGCCGTCCGGTTCCTGTCAGCTGACCCCACACATTACATCCCATCCGAGAACTGACTTCCTACACTTTGCCGCTGTCTGGACACTGACCCCACACATTATTTTCCATCCGACCACTGTATGTCCATTTATTTCCTACCGTCTCATCCAACTACCTAACTTCCACCTGACCCTTGACTGGCCTCTGGTGTCGTCTCTGTTTGAACTATGGTGTCTCAGACTAGCCTCTGGTGTCTCTGGTCCTCTGATCCCACTTCTCACCTTCCATCTGACCGCTGACTCGCCGTCTCCTCTCTGTACCGGTGTCTCTGACTGTACTCTGGTGTCTCTGACTGGACCCTAACTTTACTAACCTTCCATCTGACCGCTGACTCGTCGTCTCCTCCCTGTCCTGGTGTCTCTGACTGCCCTCTGACCACCTCTTACCTTCCATCTGACCGCTGGCCGGCCGTCTCCTCTCTGTCCCGGTGTCTCTGACTGGCCGTCGATCTTGTCTCCACGTTGCCAGCTACATCAAACGTCGTCTCCATGCTGTTGCGGCGGCCAGGGTCGTGGCTACGACAACGAACGAAAAGCGGTGCGGTTACTGCACTGGGCAGGTGCTAGGGGACACTCAAGGGAGCACTGGGGACGTGACAATACAGCCCAGGCGCACGATATGTAGCGTAATTGCATGTCACGCAGCGGTACAAAGCTGGGTCTCTTGAGGGAGGTCTAGCAGCCAGGTAAAACACGCACAGGCCACGGCTAAATAGAAGCAATTCACTAAAACAGCATTTGGTGAAAACATGCATGCAATCGACATCGCATAGTGCATGTGATGGTACTGGAAGCATTTATATGGCATTCGTGCTCGTTCAAAAAGCGGAACGGATACATGATAAATCATTGAAACATTAAAACACGCCGAACCCTCCGCTACGGCATACACGTGGGAACCATACAGAAACAGTTAAACACTATGCACCATCACCACACCAATGCGCTGTAATGCACCGTTCACTGTACTTCGCCTTCTGATAACTTACAGTACACACTGCTTGCATCTCCACATAAAACAATATCACAGAGCAATCAACCACATTGTATCTTCCCCACTAACACAAAGAAAACACATTCTACCATCACGCATTCACCCCATTGTTACCTACCAAACGAAACAAACCCTACACGGCGGGTGCCCGCTCAGTCGGGGCACCGCCCACCGGTACCGGTGGGCGGTGCCCATCGGCGGCACCAGCATTACACCACTGCACAGACCACTCAACACAGCAGTAAACGAACGGACGGCATTCCCGCAAAGTGGACTGGCCTGATCACATTACAGGTTACCGCCCTGGGGCTGTGGGGGAGGGGAGGGAGACGGGAGGAGTGACGGGAAGATTCCCCTGGGAGGGAGCGGAGAGGACTAGCCTTCGCCATGTGGATGTGGGCAGCGAAATATGAAAACGTGTGTCGCGATGCAGACGATAATGAGGGATGACGGGACGATCCTTCGAAGCTTGCTTACGAACGTTCACTACACTGCACAGTACACACCAATGCGCCTTGCACACGTCACTTGGCTAGTCAGTAGTCACGGCTCACAGAAGACGTCCACAAGCCTTCAAATACGCTACACTATCTGCCACGATTCTATGAAACCCATCATCACTCCAAAACTCAACTTCGACACTAAACATGCATCGCTTGCATGCTAGGCTGAACACAAAACTACACAAAGTCACGCTCATGCACAGCTGACATACAAACAGACCCAAACATTCGAACAAGCGTCAGCTCCTCGTGGCACCCACCTCTCAGCGTAGCTCTCGTTGTGGCCGCGGCCTGACTCTCGGCGCCCCCTAGGACGCTGGTGCGCCTCGTGCGCCGGGTCCAGGAACCGGAACCGGTACACGCGCCCGAACTGCACCACACAGCCGTGCTGCAGATAAAAGGGGGAGAGGGTAGGATTAGAAAGAGGGCGGGCGGTGTTAGGAAGGAGCGGATACCGTCATACCCGGAGACAAAAGGGGAAGGAACGTCGCTGTTTATTTAGGAAGCGTGTTGCTATTTATAGGAGTGATTAAGCGAGCAGCATTAGTAATTGCTCTGTCATTGTTTTCGATGGGTATCACGTTGGATTGGAAATACCAGTTGGATAAGAAGTAACGAGATGAAAAGTGCTCAACGTTCAAAGACACCACTCGACTCGACGATGTCCGATGACTCGACAAACTTTTTCCAGGACCCGTCAACAGCTTACCACGTCCCCCATGCTAAGCCCACTCTTCACACACTTCCTAACACACAGCACGACACAGCGATCACTGGCTCGGACCGCTGGCGGCTCTCTCCGGTCGGTGGCCGATCTGGGACCATCTGTCGCGCCTGGGCCGATCATCAATGAGTCAGAGTGTGACCAGCTGCCGCCCCCACGGTCAGCGTGATAGCCACCCCGACCCTCCGACCCCGAGAGAGCCTGACACCGGCCGCACACACACGCATACAAACGCGGCAGTAACGACCACCTGCGGCACCACTCACTGACCGTCAGTAGGTGTACTGAGTGTGTCCCGAAGTGCAGGTCAGTACCAGTAGGGCTCTCATGTTCTTGTACATGTTTCGATGGTCGGATGAGGAAGTGTAATAATCCGGCATTCCTGCATTATGTATTTATGTTTGTCTTTTTCACGCAAAAAGTGAAATCATTGCTAGACAGTCTAGGCATGGGTAGCCAGCAGTTACCCATTCCAAGCATTTACAGAAGGCACGGGCGATTTCTACTCACTGATTCAGGTGTCGACTATTGGTGACATTAACTCGTCAACAGTTATGATTCATTCGTGTTTTTTCACGCGAGGGGTTTATCAGGGTAGATCAACAAAACCGTACCCGTTTGAATCAGGTGCATTGAATCGAAATTTGAATGTTTCAGGCATATAGCGGACAGTGGCGGCGGAAGGTAATTTTGGATGGGGGTGCAAAGTTTTCTCGAGGGGCCCCTCTGGAAGTTTGGGCCCCCCTTCATTTTTTTAGTGATTATTATTGATTTATGAAAAACGAAGATTTTGGAAAACTATCCCCATACACACACTACCTACCTATCTCAAATAATGAAAGCATAAAGAAGCAAATGCAGCTAGTTTTTATCGGCTAATCTTTTAGTCTACCCACCACCCGCAGCGTCTCAAACCACTTTTCTGGATCCGCAGTGGACCATTGAGGGCCCTACGAGACCGTTCCAAGAATTGACCGTGTTTAGAAGCCCCTTGGAAACCGACCACATAGAGACTCCGCCAGAGACCTACATGACTCCCCAGACTGAATGAGCCCTCCGATCAGGGTCGGTCCCTTAAAAGTTGCTGAAGGTTTCAGAAGGCAGTATAGGCTCGAAAGTCTTTTGAGGGCTCTCAGAAACCGGCATCGGACCCCAAAAAGCCTGTATGGAGGCCCTCCAAAGCCGGGATGGAGGCCACATGAGCCAATGTTTAGCCTAAAGAGCCGGTATGGAGAACTGAATAGAGGAAAGGGGTCTCAGTGGGGCCTTCAGGGGCAAGCGTTTGAGCCTAAAAAGTATGCGTGGGGTCTTACAGGCAGGTAGACCCCTCGAGTATGCACGGGGTCCCAGGAGCTCGCGTGTGAGCCCAAATATTCGGCTGGCGGCTACTAGAACCAGCATGGGGATTCTTAGAAGCCGCTTAGACCCACATTTCACGGGTCATGAGTCCCAAGAGTCGATGTAGGGGCCATAAAAGCCGGTGTAGGGCCCATGGCCCCATAAGTTCCGACATTGAGACTCTCAGAGGCCGGCGACGGGGCACCAAGAGCAGATAAAGTGCCTCAACAAGCCGACATGGGGACTGAGAATCAGTGTGGAATTCCAAGAGCCTGCGTGAGCTCTCAGAGACCTTCGTATTTCGTAAGGTCCACAAAGGTCGTTGGGTCCTCTGAATCTGAACTCTGCGGGGCCCTCAGAGGCTAGCATGTCACCTGGCACCTGCCTGCGTTGAGTTGAGACCCTCCGAGGCCGTCGTAGGGTTCTTCAGAGGCCAGCGTTGGCCCTTGAAGCCTTCGTTAGGCCCTAGAAGCCGTCAAGAGGACTCTCAGAAGTCAGAGGTCAGCATGGCCCCTAGAGCCTGCCTGCATCGAGGCCCTCAGAGGCCGTCGTGGGGCCCTCAGACGCCAGCGTGGGCCTTTGGAGCTTGCGTTGGGTCTAAAAGACCATCGTGAGGGCCCACAGAGGTCGTCGTCAGGGCCCTCAGCCCCTCAGGGACCGTCCTGGGGTCCTCAGAAGTTGTTGTGAGGGCCCTTAGAAACCTTCGAGAGGATCATCAGAGGTCGTTGAGGGTCCTTGGCCATAGTGAGGGTCTTCATGGGCCCTCAGATACCTTTGCAGGGCTCTCAGAGGTCTTGGTAAGACCGCTAGAGGCCATCGTTAGGGTCCTCAATAGACCGCTGCAGGGCTCTCAGATGCCAGCAGCCTGGTTGTGTTGGGGCCCTCAGAGGCCGTCGCTGGGCCGTCTGAAGCCAAATGGGCCCTCGGACTTGAGTTGGGTCTAGGACCGTCACGAGGGCCTTAGAGACCGTCATAGAGGCCCTCAGAGGCCAGCGGGCCCCTGGAGTCCTGTGGGACCCTCAGCGGTCGTCATGAGGGCCCTTAGTGGTCGTTATAGGGCCCCAGGGGACAGAGGTCGCCGTGAGAGCCCTCAGAGATCATCGTAAGGGCCCTCAGAGGCCGTCATAGGGGCCCTCAGAGGCCAGCGGGGCCCCTGTAGTCTCCTTGGGGCCCTGGAGTCTCTGTGGGACCCTCAGCGGTCGTCATAAGGGCCCTTAGTGGCCGTTGTAGGGCCCCAAGGGACAGGTCGTCGTGGGAGCCCTCAGAGATCGTCATAAAAGGGCCCTCTGAGGCCGTCGTGGGGGCCCTCAGATGCCGCATGGAGCACCAAACGCGGCTTGGGACACTTCTAGCCGGTGTGGGGGCCCCAAAGACTAGCATGGGGCACTCCTGGCCATAATTGGACATCCCGGATATCAGTGTTCGTTTCCCGATCACTGGTTTTCAGGAGAAAATGTATTGGATGGTGCGACGGGCCCCTTGTACGGATTTTGGGGGTGCAAAAAGATATGTTTGCACCCCCATGTTTTTCGATGGGGGTGCAGCTGCACCCCCCGCACCCCCTATTCCGCCGCCACTGATAGCGGAGATAATCCAGGGTCATTCATCCACAGGTAATCTACAGCGGGGTATCGGGGCGTCGATAGGTCAGCTAAGCATGACGTCACAGCAGTGACGTCACGCTCAGCGACCTATGACACAAAGCTGCGTTGCCATGACAACCTCAAATCTAGTGCCATTACGAATGCGAGACACACTAACAAGATTCGAATAACCATTGATCGCACATCGTCCGTTCTATCTCCTGGCAACCAAATGCTTTCAAGGCGCGTCCACATCATATTGATCAACGAATTCACAGAAATATGTGGCAAACAACCTCTCTCGTGCACCTCAATAGAATCTTGGCATCAAATCGAAACGGAGATAGCAACTCTTGACATCCCTCCAATATCAGTCCTTCCATATTGTACTCGTATCTTTACTGTTTACATTAAATCAATACATCTGTGGATAGCTGTCCCCTCCGGAGACCGACACAAATTAATCAGCCGCCGGATCCTGACTATTGACTAATCTGGTAAAACCGGCTCGGGTCGGCCAGATCGACGGCGTTATTGTGTTCCGCTCACGGAACCTCTCTGTGCCCTCTGAGAATCGAACGGTCGAACAGCGCAGCTGGGGCGCGTCAGGCATCAGCTGGTATTGGGGAGACATCGTCAGAAAGTCCCCCCGGTGGACGGACAGAAGGAAATTAGACAGGGGTGAGAGGAGATGGGCGAGTAGCGCCGGGGGTCGCAGGTACGCAGCCTCTGACAATGGCTGAACGCTTGAACAACTGGCGTCTGACAGCTCTGTTAAGCATCAGGAAACTAAAGAAATTATCTTCCCCATATCTTTCCGTGCCAGACAGCGTGGTGATAGTCTTTTTTTACATAGCTGACTGTGATTGCAGTGTGTGTGTCAGCTGTAGTTAGTGTAGTGTGTCTGTAGTGTCGTGAGCCCGTAACTCCATTTCGCACCTACAACAGCCTATCTCACATCCCTCCCACTATGGTCTCTCCCGGTCCGAACCTGTAGTATGGTGGTCTGTTTACGTCTCTCCGTACCTGTAATATGGTAGTCTGCCCGAGTAGTAAAGTAATCTTGGTCTGCCCCCCCGTACCCCCCCCCCCCCCCCCCAGTATGGTGGTTAGCTGATACATCCCCCGTACCTGCAGTGTGGTGGTTAGCTGAAATCTCCCCGTCCCTGCAGTATGGTGGTTAGCTGATACATCCCCCGTACCTGCAGTGTGACGGTCTGTTGATATCTCCCCAGTCTGCATTATAGTGGTCTGTTTACGTCTCCCCGTGTCAGCAGTATGATGTTCTGCTGATCTATCTCCCTTACCTGCAGTATGGTGGTCTCGTACACCCGCTGTCCGTTGACGTAAGTCTCGGCCTCCCGTCCACACGGAGTCACCGTCACTATACCCTCCGTGTGGGCGATGACGCAGTGGCGCGGGTGCACGTTGTGGCCCGCCAGCTGGAGACACTGGCCGCCCGCCTGCGGAGAGCGCTCCGACCCGACCTCCGTAACATTCAGACGCAGGCTGTACCGTCTGAGGAGACAGACAAGACAGAGGGGTTAGATGGTGGGCAGGCTGTGCCGACTGCCAGGCAGAGACAGATAGAGATATGTGGTGGGGCAGGCTGTAACGTATCAAGACCGTAAAAAATACCGTAAATACCGTCTGGGAAGCAAGAAGCCGGCTTAGGTAAATAACTAATAGATAAAGACACAAAATGTTTAAAGACAGTCCCGGTAGCATCGCACACTACATCCAGCGCTGGATGCATTCATGGAAGACTAAGGCATGACACTAAAACACCAATAGTAACTTTTATGTCAATGTTTACACCAATGTTTACTTTTATGTCTATATCTACAGCAACGTTAGAAATGTCTCGCCACCCACCACCACCCTATAAAGTGGCACGGGGGACATTCACAGCAATAACTCTGTTACGGGCGATAAACAGTGCATGTTCCCACCCTCCCAAAGAAACACATAGTACTCCAGATGGCACCCCGCGGAGCGACAACCGGCCTCTTATATCCGTGGGAGCCGGGCTGCCGGCAGCAGCAGCAGCAGTGCACACACCCACCGCGCCGGCCGACACGCTGCCAGACAGGCGTGTTTGTGCAGAAAGTTTGTTCTGCCCCCGCCAACCGACAAATGATCACCCGGCCTCCCAGCGTGTCAACGTCAATACACCGTCAGGCGGGTCATGGTAACGAACTCTGGCAGTCGGCGTTAACATTCGTAATGGTTTGTCTACAGCTACAAACTAATCTGCCCAGGTAGTGTGACGCTCTTCCAAACCCTCCCACCACAACTCTCAGTCATTCACCTACCAGGAGCCTGGTGGCGCTCCTTCAAACCCTCCCGAGCGACGCTCCACCCCTCCCCCTAAAGAGGCGTTTCTCCAAACCCTCCCCTCACCAATGCGGCGCTCCACCAAACCCTCCCCTCACCCTCCCTTTCGTCACCTACCTAGGAGCCTGGTGGCGCACGTCCGATCCATCTGCGTTCAGTTCGAGCAGGAACGGCAGGCTGGCCTCGTCCGTTCCCCGGTAGCTATGGTCCACCTCAGACGGCGTCGACGGCTGGTTGGGCAGCTTCTTCCTCTTCCTCGGCTGGTAGTCGTTGGGCCGCCGGCGCACGTGGAACATGATGGAGCCTGCGGACGGCGGGTCGGCGGTCAGCACGGGTTGGACACCCTAACAGGCCGGCAGACACACTCACGGCGCGGCCGGCGCAGCGGCGGGCGGCTGTCGGATCGGGTTCCGATAATGATGGCACCGCCCGATTGTTGTATTGATGTGGGGGACAATCGGGTCCCGATCGTTATTTCTGTTTGAAGACGTTATTGGGCCTGACGGGGTGGTCGCAGGCGCTCGGCACGGTTCACACACGACCTTTCAATTATTTGTTACAAAGTATTCTCCACAACATAACTAAGGTTCAGCACTCACCGTTCACTACGGATGCTCACCACCCACTGCCCAGCGTCCACCGAACACCGTCCACCGTCAACCGTCTAACATTCACTGTCCACTGTCCAGTGTACTGTCCACCGACCACACTGTCCACCGTTCACCGTATAACACACACTGCTCAACGTCTGCTATCCACTGTCCACCGACCACCATATAACACACACTGCTCAACGTCTGCCGTCCACTGTCCACCGACCACCATCCACCGTCCAACGTCCACCGTCCGCGCACACTCTCAGCACTGCGATCACCGCTCGTTGGATCGACTCGGTCCAGAGATGATCGCGTGAGCCGTCCATGGCGTGCAAACTAAGCCAAACAGCTGATGGCGCGGGGCAGGCGCGCGCGCGCGCGCGGGCACGCTCGACCATTGTTAGGCTGTGCGGTGGCTGGTGGGCGGCGCCGGCCGTAGAGACAGCACCGGCCGGCCGACGACGGCTATCGAGTGCCAATCGCCGACGCCCTCGCGCTCTGCACCGTCCAGGGGGGCGCCGAGGGGAGGTGTAATACAGGTAACAGGAGGAGCACGGGTGTCCGAAGCTGAGGCAGAGGCGATGACTGCATGGGCGCAAGAAGTAAGAGTTGTAAAGGCGATACTTGTAAAAGAGCATTTAGCAACCGATGTTAATGTAATATCAGTTGCAGTCAAGCATACGCAGGACAGTTTGACGGCGCGTGTCCCTTTCCAATGACAGCGATCACGGCAAGACCGTCATGGCATGCCCAAAATTGTGGGCGCGAGGAACCAGTGCACCTACAAAGTTTTCGCCCGCCTGTCAAGCAAGCGAACCGTCAGCACGGTAAATGTAGAGTAGCTTGCGTGCGTGCGAGTTTGAGTGCGTGAGCGGTCAGCTTTTGTGCGCGTGTATACCTGCCAGCCCCTCATCATTTGCACTTGACAGGAATTATTGAGCGACTACTCACTGGGACAATTTATCATGCAACAAGAGTCCCTCCTAATAAAATTGAGAAAGAGCAGCCAAGAGGCAGCAGGAGACCAACGGCACCCATTGTTCATGGCGTCACGATTATTTACTCATAGCGTCATAGCGTCACATCCTATCCGCTCCCCTCTGATCGGTAAGTCACAAAACACGGTGATCAGCCGCGAACAGGGAGAGCAGCCGGCCCAAACAGGACACAGAATGGGGCGCACGTTCCACTTACAAAGGACCGGGGGCGCTCGCACGACGAACTTTGTATACATTTGGCATCGCACGCTCGACAGGACACGGTTACGGGTCTCTTCCGACACAAAACCGACAAGACCATGACATTGGCCGCGGGGGCGTTCCGAAACACATCAGATACTGATCACGGTTACGAGTTCCCTCCGACCTCCACCCGACGGCCGGCGGCCCGCGCTCCCCGATAGCCATCTGCTGGGGGATTCCCTATCACTGATGTCACCCATCTGATGTCAGAGGTGATTGTGGTAGGCGTGCGACCGGAGACCGGTGCTGAACCGGTTTACCGCTCAAAGTCTCAGATGTCGTCTTCGTCCACTTACAACGCTATCCTTTCTACATAACGTCATCAGAAGAAGCGAATAACCAAGATTATGCCAAAGTTCACGAAAACAGGATCGTGACCTCGGACAAGCTAACTACGAGACTAGCATGGTATTGATAATCAATATATTTCCTCGAAGCCTCTAATAACCGAATCTCCTTCGATGATGATAAAACTCAAGCTTCAAAAAAGAAGACACTAAAGCAACCGTTTAGTGCTGCAGAGCGCACGAAACTTTGCAACTTCAGAGAGACAGAAGCGTCGGTCCATTAAAACGGCAGAAACTCCGCCAAGCACTCCAACTTCGTCTAAACTCATCGACCGTCCTGTTCCCGGCCAGACTCAACACGGTTCGTCCCACGGGCGCGGTCCAAACTCGCAGAGCTGTGCGGGCTCACAGTGTTACAGATACACCCAGTGACGTCACCACAGTGACGTCACAGTGACGCCAGTGACGTACAGTGACGTCACTGGCGACAAACAGCGGCCGCCGGGGACAAACATACAGCACAGGGCACCGGCCGCCGCGCCGCGGTATTCGGATAACAGAGCTAACCGGGGCAAGATAATAGAGTTCACTGGACCGGATTCGTCGGTGAGGGATGAGGGGCAGCTCCCGCAGCTGAATGAGTCGGCCCGATGTTCAATAATTTGTGTAAATAGAGGAGGCTTGGAGATGAGGAAGCCCTATAGATAAATGTAGAGTTTGGATGTTTCGTGGCAGTCAATGGAAACACACTTGGTAGCATGCAAGCCAGTCACTAATCTTCTGCGTGACTGCCTCGAGCGTGCCTGTTCCGTTCAACACGATGAGCTACAAATCATTCTGGCTTCAACGCTATACGATTGGCTCCTGCTCCCGCCCACAAGTAGCGCATGTCACCAATGGAATACACTTATCGTTATTGTCATCAACCAATTTCCCTACCAAAACCTCCCACGATGCGAAATCGGTAGCTCGCGTCGTCACGGTCAATTACTCCCGACGCGTCCTCAGTCTCAGTCCCACGCCATTGGGTGACCTGTATGACCCCTACCCCTCCCCTCTGACCCCCTGACCTTCGGCTACCGCGGCCCAATGACGTGTCGCCGCAGTATTGAGCGCCGTCTCGACTACAAAGCCATCGTGACACCGTGATTGAATCTCTCCCAATCCCGGCCGGCCAGAGTCCCCTGTATACGACGCACGCTATACCAGACCCCGGCAATTAAGACGCTTCTCCTGCTGGCACGCAAACAAAGACGACGGAGCACAGGGTGGCAACAGGCGAGCCAGAGGCAAATGAGGTATGTCGGGGCCGGGGCAAAGGCCGTATGCAGTGGCGTGCCATATATGGAATGAAGCCTCGGCTAAGTGGAGAGGAAATTGCGATACTAATGGTCCGAATAATGAAAACAGGACGTTACCATCTAGAATATCTAAATGACAAAGCTGCAAGTAATCAAGTGGCAACGCGAAATCGATGCCCATGGAAACACACAAGCCTAACCTGATAGGCTGATAGGCTCAACATGGAAACACACAAGCCTAACCTGATAGTGATGAGCCGACTCAGCTGCTAGGACCGTTCAGCCACACCACTCACTATTGCCGACTGGGACCACAGACAGTCCGACAACCAGTGTTCCGTGCGGCACACAGCACGCAGGGCGCCCACCGCTCCCAGCAGTACTGACGGCGCGCGAACGGCACACGCCACTGTGCGTTCCCCCCCCCCCCCCCTCCCCCGACCCCCGGCCCGCCCCCATGGTGTGATATACGGGCGGAGGGTGCCGGCATGCGCCGATGTGAGGGCATTCACAGCTCATACACGGCACGAAACTGGCACAGACGACACAATGCCATATGTCGGACTGCGAGCTGGGACGGAACAGGCATCGGGGCACGGCGGGGCACGGCAGGGCAGGGGCAGGGTGGGGCACGACAAGGCGGGGCGAGGCAGGGCAGGGCAGGGCAGGGGTAGGGTGGGGCATGACAAGGCGGGGCGAGGCAGGGCGAGGCAGGGCAGGGCAGGGCAGAGCAGAGTAGGTATAGTCGACTACAGAATGATGTTCCACTTTTCACAGGCAATTATTTGCCTGGAGTTGTAGGCTGTGCCGCATCACACGGACTGAGTTCACAAATTAACACGCGCACCGACAGGGGGGGGGGCGGATATCCGCCCACCCCCCTGAGGTTTTTCGCAAATAGCGGGAAAACCGCGGCGCGTAGCGCCGCGAAATTTGGTACGACTATTCCCTCATCAATTTTACACAAGGTGTGCAAGTTTGAACCTCCCAACTTTTAAGGTCAGGTCACCAGGTCACTTTGAATGACCCAACCTCAAGTCACTTTTTTGCAACTTTGTCACCGTGCCAGAGCTACAGTAGATGTCGGAATCCTTTGAAAGTCGCAGGATGTTATAAGGTCATTAGTAGCCACAATTTGTATATCTCGGAATTTTGATATCGGTGACCTAAGGTCAGGTGAATTTCGCGACCTCCCCATTATAAGTCAACGAGGGAAAAATCAACTCCCTGTTTTTACCACTAAAACGGGTCGGAATGGCCCCATATACCATATATTAACCCGCGCCGGGCCGGTGCTCTGAGATTCCGCGCCAGGCCGGGGGGGGGGGTCTGAACACCCCCCCCCCTTCTAACTCGGCTCCTGGGCCACGTAGCGACACGCGGTAAGCGGCAATCGAAAGAACGTCCAAAATAAGGACGAAAACACTTCGGTCATTTTTTGGGTCAGGTCAAAGGTCAGGTCACCAGAGGTCACCAAAGGTCAAATGTCCACTATTTCAACATTTTGGAAACTGCCAACGGCTATCTCGGGAACCGATAGAGCTACAGCGCCGCGGAAAAGCGCATTCGATAGCCCTTTTACAGACCTTTCTGAGTGATGTTCTCAGATTTGACCTCAGGTCAACGGTTTAGCCTCCAGGGGGCAAAAACTCCAAAAATAGCCGTTTTTACGAAAAACGTTTTTTCGGCAATAACTTTTGACTCAAATAAGTCATGACATTACTTTTGCCACCATCGTGTTCCTCTCGTCGAGGCGCGTCGAATGAACTATAATTTGACCTTGAAAGGTCAACTTGAAAATTTGACCTCAGGTCAAGGTCATGACCTGACCGGAAAAGGTCATGTTGCATATCAGTCGATCCGCAACGTCGAGCCGAAC